ATCCCCACAGGCCGAGGGACCCCACCTGCCAAGGGACCCCACTCAGTACGCAGACGCCCTTCGAGCTGCAGTGCCACCCTAGGTGAGGCAGGCCAGGATCATGGCAGGTTGGTTCCAGGGTGTGTCCAGCCCGTCTCGCCCAGTCCCGCCCCACCGGCCACCTTCTAATTAATTTCCTTTCAATGTGCACGAATCCGTGCACCGGGCCACTAATTGGTTTATGAACTTGGCTGCACATGGGAATCACACAGGGGGTAAAAAAACAAAAAGCCACTAAACAGTCCAGTCTCATCCTAGAGATTCTGTGTTAATTGGGCCAGGGTACAACCGTGGCACTGGTATTTTTTAAAGCACTTCCCCAGTGACTCTTATATGCAGTTACATTTGAGCATCAAGGGCGTAGGGGCCATTTGTCATTCTTTTTGTCCACCTGAATCCCCCTTAGGGTCAGATCTCACCCCCCACTACCGAATCTCTCTCCCCCCCACTCCCCTGGCATATGGAACATGGGCACCTACTTGGGGCTTCACCAACCAAACCACCCCAGACTTTGCAGCAGAAACTACTGAGACAAAGAAGCAGAGACCACACAGTATCAACCTTATCGGCCAGGGTTTGGCATTGGTGGCAGCTATATTGTTTCCCAAGGCAACAGTGACAGTTCGTGGGGCAGGATGTTCAGCAGCAGGGACTGCAGGACCTCAGCTGACCTTGCCAAGCCTGGTTTTGAGCACTGGTCGTGGCTGCACAGACTCTGGAACTGTTTCTATGGTCCCGGAGATTGTGAACTACCCGCTATAATTTTAAACACACAGAGCCTTTTATAAAGTGTAAATGTAAGACAAAATTTAAAACCCACACAAATGTGTAGATTAATGACTTGTTATGAGGCAAACACGTTTGTAAACAAGGTCCAGGCCAGAGGATAGGATTAGGTATCCCAGAAACTCCATTTATAACTCTCTGGCCATTTATAGCTCCTCCCTTCCTGCTAAAAATATCCCCATCCTGACTTGGAGGTTAATCATTTTCTTTATAGTATATTACCTCTGTATTTCTCTAAACACCGCATGCTTTAGTTTTGCCTGTTATTTTTTTCCCTTTCAGTCTTTTGTTCATTTATATTCTCTTTCACTCCCCATTGAAATTTAATTACGGAAAACACTGAATCAATTGTCCTGCAAAATTGATCAGTCTGGGTTTTTTAATTGATGTAGTTTAATATGTCCCTCTGTCTTCATGTTTGATCATCTGGTAGGTATGAAGTGCACTGGCCACCAGGGGGCAGACACTCAAAGCAGGAGCTGCTGATCTGCCGTGACTTGGAAGCTATGGTTTTCGGGTGACACACCCCGGAACCAGAGAGGAGGGAGCTCTCGCACTCTGGGCCCCCTCGGAAGACGTTGGAGAGTCAGTTTCGGCCCAATCCCCACAGGCCGAGGGACCCCACCTGCCAAGGGACCCCACTCACTATGCAGACGCCCTTCGAGCTGCAGTGCTGCCCTAGGTGCAGCAGGCCAGGATCATGGGAGGTTGGCTCCAAGGTGTGTCCAGCCCATCTCGCCCTGTCCCGCCCCACCGGCCATCTTCTAACTAATTTCCTTTCAATGTGCACGAATCCATGCACTGGGCCACTAGTTTGTTTATGAACTTGGCTGCACATGGGAATCACACAGGGGGTAAAAAAACAAAAAGCCACTAAACAGTCCAGTCTCATCCTAGAGATTCTGTGTTAATTGGGCCAGGGTACAACCGTGGCACTGGTATTTTTTAAAGCACTTCCCCAGTGACTCTTATATGCAGTTACATTTGAGCATCAAGGGCGTAGGGGCCATTTGTCATTCTTTTTGTCCACCTGAATCCCCCTTAGGGTCAGATCTCACCCCCCACTACCGAATCTCTCTCCCCCCCACTCCCCTGGCATATGGAACATGGGCACCTACTTGGGGCTTCACCAACCAAACCACCCCAGACTTTGCAGCAGAAACTACTGAGACAAAGAAGCAGAGACCACACAGTATCAACCTTATCGGCCAGGGTTTGGCATTGGTGGCAGCTATATTGTTTCCCAAGGCAACAGTGACAGTTCGTGGGGCAGGATGTTCAGCAGCAGGGACTGCAGGACCTCAGCTGACCTTGCCAAGCCTGGTTTTGAGCACTGGTCGTGGCTGCACAGACTCTGGAACTGTTTCTATGGTCCCGGAGATTGTGAACTACCCGCTATAATTTTAAACACACAGAGCCTTTTATAAAGTGTAAATGTAAGACAAAATTTAAAACCCACACAAATGTGTAGATTAATGACTTGTTATGAGGCAAACACGTTTGTAAACAAGGTCCAGGCCAGAGGATAGGATTAGGTATCCCAGAAACTCCATTTATAACTCTCTGGCCATTTATAGCTCCTCCCTTCCTGCTAAAAATATCCCCATCCTGACTTGGAGGTTAATCATTTTCTTTATAGTATATTACCTCTGTATTTCTCTAAACACCGCATGCTTTTTCCCTTTCAGTCTTTTGTTCATTTATATTCTCTTTCACTCCCCATTGAAATTTAATTACGGAAAACACTGAATCAATTGTCCTGCAAAATTGATCAGTCTGGGTTTTTTAATTGATGTAGTTTAATATGTCCCTCTGTCTTCAGGTTTCCTATAAATTGGAGTTGGATCTAGAACAGAGGTTTGATCTGAGGTTTGATATGTTTTGGCATTGCCTCACCACAGGAAGGACTGTGCTCGAGACACTAAGGTACATGAATGTCTGGATGTCTCTCTTTTGTTGGATCTCTCTCTCTGTGAGTTAGTAGCCATTGATCATGCCTAGATCCAACAATTCATTTGAGGTTGCAAAATAATAAAATTCTAACTATAATTTCTTCATAGAGAATTCTATGGAGAAACATTACCTTTTTTACTATTGTTGGGGGGAAAAAAACCTTCCCTACCCTCTTAGGTGCAGTGTTTGGAGGTTTGCAAATTAAACTGATTAGCAAAAGAAAAGCAGATTTTTATTAACTGTGTATCTGGGAGTTCACAGAAGACTGCGCCTCCTAGAATTGGGGGCGTATATGGTATGTACCACCTTAACAGGGGATGGGGAAGGGCAGAGAGGCACTTCTGAAGAACAGATGACTTCTCATCAGGGCTAGGGGCACGAAGGGCACTTAAAATAAAGGACTTTTGGCAGAGAGAACTGGACCCTTAGGAGAACAGATGAGGTAAGAACTCTGAGACCATGTTTTTGGGTGTGGTGCACATCTCTCCAAGAACAGCTCAGAGTTGCTCCCTGGAGGGTGTTTCATGACAAATGAGTTCTTTTGGGAAGTTATGCTTTTAGTCAGATAAGGGATTTGAGGAATCCAATGCCTCAGCTCACAATAATTTATGTACACAATAGCTTATTCTGGTCCCCTTCACTGTTTAGTTACTCGTGGTAGAGTCTGCATAGGAGTGTGGATGAAAAGGGAGTTCTATGGAGAGTAACCTCAAAGGGTTATCCGATCATAAATTCCTAACTGGGCAGGTCGTGGTGGATAGTCACACCCCAGGGATATAACTTCTTTAGTAAAAGGCTTGTCTTTGCCTTTAAGTAAGCCCCGTCCATTGTTTCTGTGCTTCTAAGTGAACTTGGAAATGTCTCTTTTGGGACCCCTCAAGCAAAACCACCCTCAAGAAAGCACATAATCTAATCCAATCCCCACCTTGCCGGACCGTTTTGAGGCCTACGCACAGCTGAGTGGGTTTGGGGTGGAAGTTAAGGCTGTAAAATGGGTTGGGGGCTGGAGAAGGTCCTCAATTGTTGGGTCAGGTTAATGCACTGCTTTACGCTTCCCTGGATGCTTGAGGTGACCAAGGACAATGGGGCCATGACAGACCCTTGCTGTAGATTCTTGAAAGTGGGTATTCAGAGGATTAACACTCGGATCTGTGCAAGACAGACTGGGGTGTGTGAGGGAGACCGACGCCAGCTGATCACTTAGGAAATTAACGTGGTGGTGCAGAGGAGAGGGACTAGTACCAAAACTAGGCAGTGGGAATGCCTAGGGGAAGACGGGAGATAATGTGCGAAAACCGAATGGTACTAGGTGACAGTGAGGGAAGGGTCATTAGTGGTTGAGGCCTCAAAGCTCAGGGATTAGAAAATAAATTTTAAAATTTCAATGTAATCTCCTATATGAGTGACCTAGAACTTGAACTGGAAAAGCCATCCCTACCTATCCTAGGATCTTCAAACGTTTTCTTCAAACATTTATTTCCTAGGTAACACTCAAGGCCCGTTAGAAGGAAAAACGGAGCTTAGCCTGTGCTGATTAAGAGGACAAGTAGCTCACAGCACCCAGCAACTGGGTTGTGTTTTCACAGCTGCAGGAATGTGGACCATCGAGAAGGTCACAGAACAGCAACCGGTGCCCCATAGATTACTTCAGATCTGTCTCTCATCCCAGCAAGTGTGGCTCGGGTAGCATCTTCATCCCGGTAGTTTCACTCCAACATCTGTCTTGGAAATCTCCCAGGCCCAAACTGTTTCTGTGATTGACGTGAAACTTAAGAGCTTTCATGGAATCCTTCAGGCGCTTCAGAAGAGGCACAAGTGAAAGGCCTCTCCTGAGAGTCCCCTCTCTCCACTGTCATATCCACTCTGCTCCCTGCACCTCTGGTGTCTAAAGCAAGTGGACCCTCCTTTTCATTCAGCACTGAGACCCTGCACGTCAGGCGCTCACCGGAGACCTTAATCTTGGATTGACTAGTCTAGCTCCAGTCAAAAGAACAACTGAGGCCATTTCACAATCTAATGAGAATGCGAATTACCCTTTCTTTCAGAAGCAATAAACTGTATATATCAAGTCAAATCACCATAAAGTTACAAACCTAGACGTTATTATTTAAGCTCCCTGTAGAAATGTCACCACTGATTTGCAATCTACTCTTGCATTTTTACTGAAATTCAAAAAATGATAGAGGCATTCAAGCAAATATGTGCATTTTAATGAACTTGCATTGGAGACAATTTACTTGCATTGTAAATAACCCGTAATGGTAGAAACTTGTGTGTTTTGTGCTAGAGATTTTCTTTCCTTATCAGCTGTTACGCTCTCTTTAACTGGCTGCAATAGGAATACACCACCCCTCCTTCTATCTTGAGGCTGGAAATCTCAGACCTAAATTCAGTGTCCCAGAAAAGCCCGGGGCCTCCTCTCCCCTTCACAGCTCTTCATATTCAATTGAGTCAGACTATACCACTAATCACTTACTTAAACTGTCGCAAGTCCATCTGGGAAGCTGGCATACACTATACTCAGTTGCCTTACTCGCCCCCCCCCTCCCCCCCTGCTTATATTTTGAGTTATTTCACCACTATTACTCATTCAACAAAGATCTCCTCGAAGTTTCACCTCAAAGAGCCAATTAAGACAATTGTGGAAAGCAACCACCTTTATTAGTTTCAGCCAAAGGATGGTTTGAAGTAGGAGGAAACGGAATTAGCAAGGTGGAGGGGTAATAAGGTTTAAAGCAAAAACAGTAGTAAACTGAGCCAAGTACATTTCAAGGGCATTACTGTTAGAAGGTACCAGTTAGGCTAAATCAGTGGTTCTCAACCTTGGCTGCACATTAGAATCACCTGGGACTCTTTAAAATCCTGATTTCTGGGCCTCATCCTCCGGAAATTCTGTTTCTTTGTTACTAATGTTGTGGCCCTACCCCATAACAAAGAAACAGAATTTCCGGAGGATGAGGCCCAGAAATCAGGATTTTAAAGAGTCCCAGGTGATACTTCACTACCACTCTGCTTGCGGTTGGCTCTGGCACGTTTATTAACCCCATTATAATCATTATGACCAAACCTTAGGACCTTATCCTGAGAAACTGTATGTGGCCACTGGTGTCAGGCTTGGTTTCAAAACCCAACTCCAATACCAACTGGCTGTGCAACCTTGAATTATTCTGAGTTAATCGTGTAAATCGGGTACTACTTCACCAGGTTGTTGACAACATAACCCAAAGAACCCGAGTGCCACACAGCTGATCGTGTTTCTCTCTCATCGATGTTTCTAACTCTCTATCTCTCTCCCTTCCTCTCTGTAAAAAATCAATAAAATATATTAAAAAAAAAACCAAAACACCCAACTCCAGTACCAACTGGCTGTGCAACCTTAAATTATTCTGAGTTAATCGTGTAAATCGGGTACTACTTCACCAGGTTGTTGACAACATAACCCAAAGAACCCGAGTGCCACAGCACCGAGCAAGCTAGTAGTAGGAAAGTCTTTCCCCGTCACATAGTCCCTTGAACTTTACCCCTGCATTGCCCTCTGCCATCATTTTAGGTGGGTCCTACTTAAATCTGACTTCATATGTGATCTCTAGAACCCTTCAGTTTCTCTCCCAACCTACCTAGACTTTCCCTCAAACATGCTGCTCTTGCCCCTTCGAAGGCTTCACAGGTCTCCCACCTCCCGATCACACCATCCAGTTGGACTTCTGCTTTCTCACATACCCATTACTGATTGGCCTATAGGCCCTTCTTACCCTTAGCCAACCAGTATCTATATCTAAGAACCAATTCACGTCCCTCCTCCCTCCAAAGCCATCCCAACTATTCTTGCTCTTTATTCTTTCAACTGCTCTTGCCAAACTGAACTTGTTCTTTTAATACAGTACTTAAGATCTGGATCACAACTATTTGGCTCTTGTATATGCTTAGCTGATAAATTGCTTTTGCTTTCTAAAAAGTAGATCATACATTTAAGGGTAGAGCCCCAGCCAGTTTGGCTCAGTGGATAGAGCGTCAGCCTGTGGGCTGAAGGGTCCTGGGTTTGATTTCAGTTAAGGGCACATGCCCGGTTTTCGGGCCGGGTCTCCGCAGCCGATCAATGATTTCTTCTCATCATTGATGTTTCTCTCTCTCTCTCTCTCTCTCAAATCAATTATATATATAAAAATGTATAGAGAGATTGAGACTATGTTCTATTTTCCTATACCAATCTCAAAAGCAGAATCATAGGCCCCAACCTAGACACACAAAACAGTATGTTGGAGAGAACTGAATGACGAAGCATTTAAAACATTCCAGGTGATTCTTCTAAACCAGCGGTTCTCAACCTGTGGGTCGAGACCCCTTTGGCAGTCAAATGACCCTTTCACAGGGTCACCTAAGACCATCCTGCATATCAGATATTTACATTACGATTCATAACAGTAGCAACATTACATTATGAAGTAGCAACGAAAATAATTTTATGGTTGGGTCACAACATGAACTGTATTTAAAGGGCCAGAAGATTGAGAACCACTGTCTGCAGTGAGAAAACTTCTATATATCACCCATCCAGCACAATCTTGTCAACAAATATTTATCTTTGCTTATGGACTAATAACGCCTTAATAAAGGATTAAACATTTCCTCCCACACTATATATAAAAAAGCTGTTTCGCCCTGACCGGGTGGCTCAGTTGATTAGAGCATTATTTCAAAAGGTTGCGGGTTTAACTCCCAATCAGCCCACTTACCTGGGTTTTGGGTTATCCTGGTTGGGGCACACACAGGAGGTAACCAATTCTTGTTTCTCTCTCTCAAAAAACAAACAAAAATCAGTGGATCCCTGGCCGTGGGCTCAATGGTTAGAGCACCAGCCCACATACCAAAGGGTTTTGGGTTTGATTCCTGGTCAAGGGCACATAGTACCTGGGTTGTGGGTTCGCTTCAGCCCCCAGTTGGGAGGCAACCAATGTCTCTCTCACATCCATGTTTCTCTCTCTTCCCTCCCTCCCTTTCACTGTCTCTGAAAAGCAATGGAAAAATATCCTTGGGTGAGGATCAACATCAATGGAAAATATTCTCAGGTGAGTTTTAAAAAGTTTCACACTATAGTTCACCAAAAAAAATAGGAAATTCTTTTGTTTTTCAGGTAAGGAGTCAATGCTAAGAGAGTTCAACTTCCAGAATAGCAAGCCTACCTTCATGCCATGGGTAATCAGCTGACTTCAGCAGGAGTTGGCCTTTGGTACATTCTAGTATTGCTAGCTGGAAAGTAACTGGAATTGTGGTATCTCTTTTGACACCAGAATGTTTTTTTAGTGTCCTAGAGATAAGTCTATTTTTAATGTAGTTTCTTACCAAAGATAGTTCTTGAAATTGCCTTCTCAGTTTTCTCTAGGTTGAGAAAGTTATTCCCCTATTTGTCCTCTAATATTCATTCTGCATTATTTTTCAAAGTAATCCTCCATCTTCAACTCCATAAATAAATGAAAACCAAGCCACACAGTTGGAAATCAAGTTTTGTTTTTATATGAACAGAAGAAGACCATCTAGAAATATTTCAGTTTATTTAAATTGTTAAGTAGAATATGAAACCGAATTTGTAGCTAGTACCAGAGAATGGACTTAACTGTTTGGTATTTAATGAGAACAGCTTCTACACAGGATCCCAAGAGACTTACAGAAAAAGGGGCAACGCCCTAATATTAAGCAAATAAAACTCAAACAGATTATACAAAAATTGATTTATACTCCATTTCCCTTTTTTTGATATTTAGAAAGTGCAGAGTTAACAAAAGGTAGCCATATCCTTTCTATGTACAATGCCGATTATAATTATGCAAACAACAAAACTGTCAGTCTGTTACCCAAAAATCCCAGTGTTGAGCTCTCAAACCTTAAGTCACTGACTGAATTGAATAAGGATTAAAGGTTAAAAATAAAAAAGCTACTGCCACATTCCAGATAACCGAAAGCAACAAACACATCAAAATTAATCTGACAACAGGTTTAACCCAAAGCTTTTCAAGAAGCTTAACATCATTTCATTATTCTTAGAGGAAAATTAGGGATTATTTGGCAATGCTGCTTTTACTAGTAGTAAACAATGATAAAATTCAAGTGAGGGGAAAATAACTAAGAACCATCATCAGGTGAGGCGTAGAAAATGGTTTTTAGGGCACTATCTGAAAATGCATGGGTGTTTGTAGCAGATCCGTCCCTGTGTTGTTTATGAGAGCCAAGAGGGCATTAAAATGCTGTCCACGACACAGAAAAGACTTTTCAATGGAAGCTGCTGTCCTAAACTCAGCCTCTGCTAGAAATGAATCATGCTATTCACAATTATTTCAACAAAGGTATCATCTTAGGATGCTAGCAGCATAGCAAACTTAACTTACCCTATCCTACTGATAAGCAATGAAGCAAAAATAGAAAAAATGAAGTGAAAAAAACCGACAGGGTTAGAGATAGCTAGAGATCTTATCTCTCCATGAAAAGCCTTTTGTTCTTTTTCTGAATCCATGGTAATACAAGTTTTCCAAAGGGATGTGAAGAGAGGACTTAAAATTAATAATACACTAAAGTATATCTAAATCTTAAGGTAAAGATAACTTAACACTGAAAAAGTGTTCCGAGAAGGCCAAATCTCAATATATTTGGCAAACATGTTAATAAATTCCACTCCTCCTTCCCACCTTTTAAAAACAACCTTTACTGGGCTACCAAACTGCTAGAGGAGTTGCCAAAATGGAGATTACTCAAATTTAGGTTAAAGATTTATTCTAGGAAAGTGAATAGGCTATACACCTAATTAGAAAGACAAACCACAACACCCTCCAAACACTAGTGCATGCAATTAACTCTTCCATTTCATAAACTCAATAGTTAAGACAGTAAGGGAACAAAGAGGGAAGGAAAAGAGGAACATGAAGCCAAACAGCAAATGAAGAAATCTGGGGCAGCAGTTTTAGGGGAGAGACAAAATGAGGGGAAGACACAACTAACTGACATTTGACTAGTAGGCAGTTGGAATTTTCTTTCCGTTTACTTAGCAAGTTAAATCAGTGCTTTATGTTGAACTCGACAAACCTACTAGTTTGCCCCTTTCATTTTTAAATAACTCATACCATGAGGGAGGGGGGAGGAAGAAGCAAATAAAGGAGCATGCAGGAAGACAAACAAGGAAAAGTGGCCGAGGAGAGAAGAACGGAGGAGAACAGGTGGCAGGAAATAGTTTTAAATATCAAGGCCACTTAAAATGAGATTCAGCAAACCAAAGCTATTACTTCTGCATTATCCTTTGTCCTCAATTGATTACTTTGAAAATTGCAGCCAAGCAAACCACAAATATCTTAATGTTTATGTCTGGATGATAACTCCTGCACATGCTTCCATCAAAACAAAAAAGGAAAAACCAAAGAAGTTCCTTTCCACATAAGGCACAGGACAAAATTAACCCATTTACATATTCAAGGCGAAAATGAGTGTTTTCCTGGCTTTTGTTTGTTTCTTTTGTATTACATGTCTATAGATTATAGGGAC